CCTCTTCTCCTGCAGCAACCCCTCCTTTATATATGTGGTAGATCTAGGGTAAAAGGGCCCAATAGAAACCCATGAAATTAGGGTTTTTAGGTTTCCTAATATGAAATTAATCCCCCCCTTTTCTAGCTGGAATTTAGGTCGAATAGGATTAGGATAAGGTAAAATAAAATAAAATCAGTTAGGGTTTTTTACTTCCCAGAAGCTGATTCTTGAATTAATTTCCCCATCTTTTTAGCACATTCCTAGCCTATTCGAACTTCAAAAATGTCCGTCCATCTTGGGCCATGCATATGCCATCCATTCCAAGTCCAAAACTGCTCTAAAATGATCCAAAATGCCCTTTCTTGCCAATCTTGCCATCTGGACCTACAATAGTACGAAAATAAGCTAAATCACTCTAATAAATGGGAATTAACGAAGTAAATGTAAAGAAATAAGATAGCAAAGTCGCATAAATATGCTCCTATCAATTACTATTCCATGTTGAATATTTGTTACTATCCCAATTCCTTAGAGCAGCCAAAATAGCCTTCCTAAATCACCTCCCTAGACTAAGGGTGGGCATCAGAATCGAAGAACCAATCAACCGAACCAAACCGGACCAGAAAAAACTGAAAAAAATAGTGTTGACCAAGAAGTCAAACCCAATTCCAAAAACCAAACCGAACTAATTCTAACTGGTTCCTATTCTAAATCTATACCCCAACCAACCGAGCTGGGGAAAACCAAACCTGCCAAATTAAAAATATATATAATTTTAATATTTATTTATATCCAATGCTCTATTTTTAATCTCATAACTAATATTTACCCAAGTTCAATTTCAAAACATCTCTCTTTTCTAGCCTCAATATTTCTTTTTATATGAAATTGGATAATTTGTTAATTTTCAAGCCAACCGAATTGGAACTGATTGAACCCGAATCGGATAGTTATATAAATTTTTTTTTGTTAAAACTGGACCGAACCAAACCGGGTAAATAACACTGGATTCGGTTCCAATTTGAGGAAAAAATCGGCCCAAACCAAACCGTGCCCACCCCTACCTTAGACCAATTTTAGGGAAGAATTAGAAAAATACAACTTTATTCATGTTCCCTATCCACCTTCTAAAATAGGTAGACCTTTAGGAACTCCTAAATTTGAGGAGAGAGAAAGGGCTCCCAATGGCTCTCTATAATTTAATGATGCTTTGTTTTATACATATTTTAAACTTTTAATTAGTGCTAACTATTTTTTTATATAATTATTTATAGAGATGGACCAATTATATTGAATTATAAAATAATTATAAAATTTATCTAGGGAGTATGATTGGAATTCAAATTTTATCTAGAACTCCTTAAATAGCTTTTGTGTGTTTTTAACTAAATTTTAACTAAAAAATAGGAAGCATGATTGTAGATGCTATTAGAGGCATTTGAGCTCCTTAGAGACTGAATCCATGATGGGGCACCGACTTGGGGTTGTGTTCTTCCAACGGTTGGCAAAACTACGTTTACCGAGTGTTACTAGGAATGGATTGAAGACATATTAAGTACAAACACTCAGGCATGTATTATGCTGCATTCGCCTCATTATTTAGCTATGATCGCTATGCCCCAATTATCCAAACCTTTTGCAAGTACCGATATCTTGCCATGAACATCATTCATACCATTCATACGTCAAAAGGAAAATATGGAGTAAGGATGACTGTTTGGATATTAAAGATTGTTATGATATTAACTTTTATTTGTTTTCTCCCACCAAGGAAGCTAATTAAATGGCTACCTATTTAAGATTGTGATGATGTAAAAAGACTTTGCCGTCAATCTGTCTAAGAAAGCTTATTTCATAACAACTTATTTCGTTTTTAGTTTAATATATTCTTGAGTTTGCAAAAGTTAATGTATTATTAAACTTGTTTACGAACATATGGAAGTTTTGTTCTAAATGTTCTTGTCCTCAGGCAACACAAGACAAGATCAATGAAGAAGAGTCCCATCTAAGCCATACAATCCATCCCGAATGAGCTTTTGGTGGAAGTGCTTTCTAAGGTGTCTTCTGCTTCTTTCGACGATCTATACTTGGCAAAGTTGAGCTGCAAGGACTTTAACAAAACATATCAAGATAACTACATATTCCAATGCATCGACATAAGCAAATTCCATTGATTTCTTAGAGGAAAAAAGACAAAGCCTCTAAATTTTTGAGACCTTGCAAAGAGTGCTACAATGTTGACGCCTTGTACAGACAAGGGCTTCACGATTTTTGTAGAGGCAAAAGGGTAAATAAAGGAATCCAATGGTAAGAAAAACATCCTCCAAGGGTCATGTAGAAACCAGCACTACAAAAAAAAGGGTCATTACCAACCAACATTCTCCGAGGGCCCTAAAATTTCCTCAGTAAAAGTGTTTTTTCCCACCCAAAAATGTTGTCCGTTGGAAATACGTCACGAGCCTGAAATTTATTTCTGACAAAGGAAATACCCTCGGAAAAAGTCTCTATTGTCGTCGGAAATGTAATTTATTTGGTGGGAAGACTTGGCGCCAACTTTATTAACGACCAAAAGTACATTTGACGGAAATAGGATGATTATTTCCGACGGCTTTCTCTTTCCGTCGGAACTGTTTGACTATTTCCGAGGGGCTTCTTATTCCGTCGAAATTGCTTGAACATTTCCGAGGGGTTCTCCTTTCGTCTGAATTGTTTGACTACTTTTGAGGAGAAATATGTCCTCTCGGAAAAACGTTTGAATGTCAATTTCCCATTAGAATAAATTAAAAAAAAATTTGATTGATAATATTGTTAGCTAGGGAAGAAAACAGATTTTTTTAAAAGAGAATTTGGTCATCATGTAGACCCAACAAACCCGATGCCAATATATATGGTAGTTGGTGGGGGCTGTGTTCCATGGGGGGTTGGTACAGTTTCATTCGCAAGTCTCTACACAAAACAAAATAAAGGCATTATCTGCATATGAAATGAAACCCAAATTAAAAATCAAAATGATACGAAAATTATAATTTGATGCACAAACCAAAGCTCTCTGTAGTGATATGCAGTTCTTATTTGAACCTATCAACTTTTTGGCCCCTCCCCCACAAAAAAGAAGAGCCTCGCTAGCTGTGAATTTCCCATTAGAATAAGTAAAAAAAAAAAAATATTGATAATAACCAATCACACTCCAAAATAAATAACTAAAAATAGCCAATCCAAAAAAAATAAGCAATCACAATTACATGGCAACTCATCCTATAGTTGTAAGTTGAACACATCGATCCCTTCTTCAATCAATTTCATTGTCTTCAACATCATTTTGGATGGCATGCATGCTTTGAATTTGAGTCTCTGCTTCTTGGTATGGCTCAATCTCATCATTAGTCGTCTCATAAGTATTTCTTGGATTTGTTTCCACGACAAAACTCCAAATTTTATTTTTAACCCCTTCACATAAAAAAACTTGGGTTGCTTGGGTTGCTTGTACGAATGGCTCTTGAGTATTTAGCTTGCGTGTTGTATTAACAGTGATTATTCCATAACGATCTATCTTGTAACCTGTTCCTTTTCGTGCCGT